ATAGCCATGAAAGGATGGGAATGAGTGAATCTCAAGAGATGAGCAGATAAGCAATTACAGACTGGCAAAGAATCAAACACACACACTCAAAGCAACAAAATGGCAGGAATTACCATGTACCTCTCAATATCAACACTGACTATTATATTAATTGTCTAAACTCCCCCATAAAAGAAATAGATTGATGGGCTGGATTAAAAAAGAAGACTTGACAATTTGTTATGTATAAGAAACACACCTCACAGACAGAAACAAACATTGAATTAGAGTGAAAGTGTGGGAAAAGGCTTTATAAGCAAATGGCCCCTGAAAACAGGCAAGAGTAGCTATTACATCTGAGAAAGTAGACTTCAAAATTAAATTAGTTAGAAGAGACAAAAAAGGTCACTTCATACTAATAAAAGGAGCAATACACAAAGAGGAAATAGTAATTGTTAATTTATATGTGCCCCCATGTCAGCACACCCAACTTCTGGACTTAAAAGCACAGATAGAGTACAGCACAATGATTCTGGGAGACTTTACCAATAGATCATCCAGTCAACAAATCAACAAAGAAACTTCAGAATTAAAGGACACTGTAGACCAAATGGCCTTAACAGACATCTATATAGTATTTCATCCACCAGCAGCATAATACACAGTCTTCTCAGCAGCCCCTGGAACTTTCTCCAAAATAAATCATATTTTAGGACACAAAGCAAATCTTAAAAAATATAAAAAGTTGAAATAAGTCCCTGCATACCATCTGACCACAATAGAATAAAACTAGATTGCAACAACAAAAGAAACAGCAGAAAAATTAGAATTTCTTGACTGTGATCATTTGTGGCTTTAATAATTTTATTTAATGAAAAATGTAATCTATGTGCTTTAGGATCTGAGTCATCCTTTGGGATAAAGGATTGTGGGGAAACTGAAAATCTGGGATTATTTCCTGAGTAGGAAGTAGAAGGATGTGATTTAATAGTTAGTTGGAACTTGTATGTCTCAGCCATCAGTTGTGGTGTAGTGGAGGTGATCCTGCTGTTAGGAAGCAAGGGTGTGTGTGTATGTGTTATTTCTGTTTTTCAAATGCATCCTTTTGCATGCCTTAAGACTTTTGTTTATAAGTCTCCAACACCTCCAGAAATATGACATCATTGGAGAAACAGCTCTGGATAGTTATCCAGCATTTCCTGGATGTTGGGAGTGGTGGGGGGGAATAATTTGTATTCCTACTCTGTAATAACTACATGTACGAATTTACTGTAAAGTCACACGGTTTTCTATGTGGTATCTTGAAAATTGCCTCTGGGTTAAAAGTGAACACATTGTTTTCCTCCTTTTTCTCTGGATGTAGAGTGTGTCTGATCACTACACTTACACACTATGCTCTAACTCCACATTGACATCTGAACAGCAGCTCTTCCTGCCCAGCCACCTGCCCTGACCTGCAGAGAAGTGGCTGCTACCACTTTTTACAATGCAATCTTGTTTCTTGATCATTGCTCCCCCTTGGGCTACTTCTTTAGGAAGAAAAGCTGACAGTGGCCTTTTTAGAGGAAACCTGTTTGCTGTCTAGGAAGGGCTGGCATTTGCAGGAAGTCTGGTTTCCTGCAAGGGAGAGACTCCCTCATTGTGTGCTTCTTCTCTGGATGCCCCTTATCCTTCCAGCTGATTTCCAGCTTGGCTCTTCCCCTTGGTACCAGCATTTCTTTTTCTTTCCTCTTCCCAATGGCGCCAGTTCTGCCTCTGCTGTGTGGACTGTCTTGCAGACCTTGCCAGCAGCCCTGTTTAGGACTCCCCTGCACTCTGACAGGAGCTGTTTATCCCATTTGCCGTCTGCCTCCTTCCCCCTTCTCTTCCTCCCTCCCTGGGCTGCAGTGTCCTCTGCATAGAGATTGAACAGAAATATGCTGAAACAATTATTGTCTGATTTTAAACAGAAGTCTGCATGGGACGACATGCAGCGTTACCAAATGGAGACGCATTTCCACATGAGGAAATGGTTTTAACCCACAGCCAGAAGATGAAGCCTTAAACCAGTCAAAAAGCAGAGAACACACCATCAGCTGTGCCCATGGAGAAGACTCGTTCTTTGTTTTTTTCTCCCTTGTTTCTCAGAGGCCACAAACAAGTTCCACTTTCTTTTATTTCATTTTCTGCTTGTCCTAATTGAAGGTAGTTGTAGGTTTTCTCTCTTCTTTGAGAGGAAAAGAATAAAGCAAACAGTACTTACTAGGGAAGCTGTGACTTACAGCTCTTTTCCCTCCTCTTTGGTGGCTTCCACGTCCATGAATTAGCGAGCTTCATGCAGAAGAGTGCCCTGTTGCTCCTCTGCAGCACCCTCACATGTCCCATGGCCAAAACAGGGACAGCTAAGATCTGGAGGTAGGGGGAGAAGAGTAGAGATGGAGACATAGGCAGTTGTAAGATGGTCTAGCTTTTGAGAGGGAGACATCACCACCAGAGACATTGACATGTGGGGAAAACATGAGTCTTAGATTCAAGGAAGCCTGGTGTGTTCAGAAGTGTCTCTTTGGTTGACTGGATGATTTTAGTCTGTTTTAATAAGGTAGGAACACAGAGGAGAGTCCTGAACCCTCAGAGATGATCTCTCTCTACCAGAAGGAATGTTCTAGAGAGTTAAAATTTCATCTTCAACTCCAGAACACCTCTAACACCATTTAATTTATGTACAAACAATTGTAAAGTGAGTTTTATATGCTTTTTATGGGCCTTGGCTCTGGGCTCAAGTGTCTACTTTCCCTGGTTTTCTTATTTTCCTTTGTGATTTGACTGGCAAAGTCCTTGTGCTGTGCTGTCCACAACAGCCTGAGCACTTTCAGTTGTCTGTTGTGATCCAAAATACCACAGGCATTAGAACTGTGCCCGTGGGATCCAGGAGCTCAAGGGGCTCACGTAAGACTATAAAAGATGTGTAGTCCTTAATATTGGGGGGGAGGTAATACGGTGTTTTTGTTTTATTAAATCAGTTTATGATAGCATTTTCTGGCTAGTGGAGGTAGTGTCCAGAGGAAGGGACGCCTTGTTCTCGTGTTATACTAAGTACCCCTCACCTGGCCCTCAATCATGCCTCTTCTCAGCTGTCCTGGAAGATGAATCCCTGAGCCCTTCACTCCTCTGACCCTGCGGGGTCAGCTGGGGCCTGTGTTTACCCTGCTCAGCCTGTCCTAAGGTCCACTGTGAACATGGGTGTCAGGTCAGGCACAGAAAAGTCCAGAGAAGCCCATCCTGCTGACCCCACAGCAGCAAGCCCGTCCTCACACTGGCCCTGCCTTATGCCTCTGAGGTCAGCCCCTGGTGCTCTAAATGTGGCTTGCTACTCTCTTCCCCAGAATAATAGCTCATAAGCTCTTGGGGAAGCTAGGCTCCAACTAGACTGCTGAACTCTCTCTCTCTGGAAGCTTTTGTCTGATGACATACTTATAACAGCTGACTTTGTACTTGCTATTCAGAATTTTGGTATTAAGAACGTGGACCCCATAGCCAGTAAAGTGCTGTAGGGGATCCTGTACCCTAAACTCTTTATACTTTTCACTGTGCTGCATGACCCAGCTTCACCCATACCCAGCTGTTATCAGGGACTAGGATACCAGAGACTTGGGGACAGAGGGGTGGTTCAAACTGCCAGACATGGGGACATTGTTGTGAGGTCAGTTTTATTAGAGAGGTGGTCATAAGCTTGTTTTATTTCTTTTTTTGCATAGTAAATATTTGAGAAAGCAGAGCAAGAATCTTTTAACAACTTTATTTATCCAACAGTCCACTGAATTTTTTTCTTACCCCAGCACACAGGAAAGTTAGGACAGGTTCTCAGAGCAGTGGCTTCCACCAGAGATGGGGCTGTTCTCCTTGGAGGAGACAGCATGGGGTGGGGGTTGGGGGACAACTAGGGATAGAGTCTCAGTCTTGCTTAAACAAGTAACTTTAAACATTTATAGAATATTCCAAAAGAAACGTTTAAAAATTAAGGCATTAAAAAACAGGCAGTGAAGAGAAAATGTGTCTTCTACTGTCCCTCCCTGAGGCTGGGTCCTTCTAGAGTAGCTCTGTGCCTGCAGGCGTTTGCAGGGGGAGGGACCCCACATATTGCCTTCCTCGTGTGCTTTGTTCACTTAATAATATACTTGGAGGTTATCCACATTTACACAAAAGCATCCATCTTGTTCTTTTTAACGATTGCAAAGCACAGGTGCACATAATTTATTTAACCAATGCCCTAATGGTGGGTGGAAGGTGATTTTGACTTTTGAGGTTACATTGTAGAAACAAGCAACCCGCTGCTGGGAGCTGTGGACCTGTTGCTTCATTAGCACTATGCACGTGACTGAATAGCTTGTTCCCACCCCTGTACTCGCAACTACTTGGCATCAGCACTTCTGCAACAATAACAACTGAGTTGTATCAAGTGTCCTGCTTGTAGGACACTATTCTAAACACTTTACATGCAGCATTACCTTAATTTATTGTTACCTCAATTTTAATGTTTGATATTTATATAGCTAATATAAATATGTTAACTTGATATATATAATTAAGACAATTATGTAAACATATCTGTATTTATGTATTTATTACATAAAAGTAAATTAAGTGAATAATATCTAGTATTATTAATTCATTGGTGAGGTTGGGTAGCTTAAAGTGGTGGATGTGGGATTTGAACTCAGGCATTCTGGCCCTAGAGTGAAGGTGTTAAATCAGTGTAGGGATATAGTGTGAGTTCCTGAGGGCACTGCTGAGCATGGTCCCTTTAGGGTCCAGTACATGTATGCATGTGGAACTCCTGACTGTGGTTCAGGGCAGTCTTGCCAGCAATGATGACCACATGTTGAAAGCTTAAGCACACATAGCCAACCAATTGCCAGAGGTCCCCTGAAGCCCTGTGGTGGCCCCACCAGTCTGACTCCAGAAGAGTGCCATGGGCAATAGATGTCAATATGTAAGACATGGGCTCATCAGCTATTTTGAGCACAACTCTCATTTTATTTTAGTAGAAACAAAACTATTTTCTGGAAGCAGCAAGGAGCAGCAAGGAGAAACACGTATGACTCTGTCTGCTCCCCCAGTGGAACAGAAGCCCATTATATACTTCCCTCCCGATGGGGACAGTTCACCAAGCGATGACGGTCAGTCTAGCGACCTTTCTGAGCCCACTGAGAGACGACAGCCAAGCTTCCTGAGACCCAGAGTCCCTTTACCTGGGTTTTTTTGTCCCTTACAAGATCTTTGCACCTCTCCACAGGAAGACAATGGTGGTCAGATAGAAAGAGAGTTCCCCAAAGGTAAGGAGTGAGGGTGGCGGTGGACATGGCTTTTTCTTGATACTCATGAAAATGGCGAGTATCTTCCTGGGTGTGGTTCACACAAGCTCACCTTTTGGAGGTGTCAGAGTAGAGAGGGAGCCGGGTGGGCAGGTTTGCATCATAGGCAGGTGGCACCTTGCAAGTAGCCAAAAGGAAGCCCCATGTGGGTCAGAGGCTCCCAGCCCTATGGTGTACAAGGTCATTGCCAACTGAGGCCAAGAAGGCCACTTGGTGCATAGCAGCTCCTGCGCTGAGCTAAGGAGTATCTGAGGAGCTGGTGTGGCTGCTCTGAAGGCAGCAGTTCCCCCAGGCTGCCCAAGGCCCCAGGAACTGACTGGCAGGGTAATGGCTGAGGGGTGTGGCCCCTACTTAACACAGCTCACTAGACCTCACAGTGCGCATGAAGCTGGTCCCCATCTCAGCCTCTCGCAGAGGAAGGGAACAATTAGAACACAGGCAAGTGCACTGAGCACTGATGTGTGAAAGATAAGAATTTCACAAAAAAATGATTGGTGGTGCCAAGTTAGGCCTGTGAAGAATTTAGTTTTCCTGTTACTCTACAGATTTTCTCAAAGAACTAGGGAAAAGGATAGAAAAAAAAGATTATATACGTTTGGGTTGTAAAAGTTAAAATGATTATGGTAACTGATAAAAATAATGTCACTTGGAGCAGAAGTTGATCCCTAGATCTTCATTCATTACAGAAGAAATCATTAAGCACCTGCTGAATGCTCTGAAGTTCTCAGTCCAGTGCAGGAGACCATTGATTACATAACTGTATCTATGTTATATGGGCCACTAGGGAGCTGAGCACAGCCTGGCACTCTGAGAGGGTCTGCATAGAATTGTCTTCCCCCAAAATGATTTCAAGAAGGAACTTGTAATGTCATCAGAGGTTTAAAGTTAGCCTTGAGGACAGAATTCTGTAGGCTAAGGGAAAATCACAGAAAGCAAAAAGCTGAGGGAAAACACATGGCTGTTTGGGAAGCAGCAAAGGGCCTGGGGCCAGAGCACAGTGATGGTCTTCCACTCACAGCACTAAGTCCATGGTGGGAGTCTGAACTGAAGGCTGCCACAAAGCCTTGAAAGTGAAGAGCTGTAACGTTTTCTCTAAGGTAGCTGTCCCATGAACAGTGAGAGGGGGCGAGGCTGGAGCTGAGACCTGGCTGCAGAGGAGAGTAGATGGTCACTGCTTTCATCAGTCACAGGGATAGAGACTTCCTAGAATCAATGTACAGATCCTTATGAGCAGTAGGAAGGTGTGAGTGTTAGGACTGGCCCTTGGGTGGCTGGCTGTAGTGATAGGGAGGAAAGTGGAGAGGGGGTGTAAAGAAAGTATGGCTTCCTTGTGAGCTAAAAAATATATATTCTCAAAGAGACATGGGAACAGTATAGTAAAGGGAGAATTAATTCTGGAGGAGGAAACTTTGGGGCTAAGTGTTAGATCTGGGCTAACCTGGGCTAATCATTATGCCTAAAGAGGAGGGGACAGACAATGGAGAAATCCTCCAGAAGGAATGAGAGCAAACACTGAAAAAAAATGAGAGAATGGCGTGAGAACATCTAAGTGGTATGATGTTGGTAGAGAATCACAAGTGACAGCAGGAGGTGGAACATCCACCATGAACAAACCATCCAAGGTCCATCAGCTTGGGTTTGCAGGGAGTTGAGAGCATTGATGGATTTCGAGTAGAGATAGGACAGCCTGCCCAGTGGAGAGGATGTAAGTGTGAACAATGACCCTGGTAGGAAGGGGTTTGGATGAGCTGCATCCTATAGCCAGGTGAGCCTCCTCATAGCCTCCTCACCTTGCCCAGAAGAACCAGCTCCTTTAGACACCTGACCTGGTGCTGTGGACAGACACAGACTAAGCACAATGTGATCCAGCCCTTGAGAGAGCCACAGGCTTGTGGGGTTAAACCATCATGGTAGAACTCCACCTTTGATTCATGCTGCTGACTGGGTGAAGAAAGCTCCCCTGTGGGAACACCAGTTGAGGCAGAAATGGGAAGGGGAGAAGGCATCCTGAAGTTTGGGACTCAACCTTTGATTCTGGGCAGTGGATCAAATGGGGCTTCATGGAGATGGGCGAGCATGTTGGGCAAGGGGATGCTGTTTGGGTCTAGTCGGAGGGTTTGGTGAGACTGTGGCTAAGGTAGGAAAGGTGCAGCAGCAGGGGTAGGGAGGCTCAGACAGGCATGGAGGGCCGAGAATAGACTGAAGGACCTACCATTATGTTCCAGGCTGAGGGCTTGGTCAAGAGATGGCCAGTGAATACTTAACTAATCTCCCTTCTACCACCCCAGAGACAGCCCTATCCAAGGTGCTGCAGGATCAACTCATTTCCTGATTTCCACAACGGAAATTCAAAAGAGCCCCAGGAAGGGGCCCAAACCAGTGTTGAGAAAGAAATCTTTCCAATTACTTATGTAAAGCCAGCTGTAGACTCTGGCAAATTAAGGGGAAGGATACATGATTGAATGCCATTCCCCGTCCTTACATCATTAGTGCAGCAAACACAAGACCGATTAATATGCTGTCCTGAAACAACCGAACTGTAATAATTGTACAGGACACACTTAATATGAAGTGCAAAATAGTAGTTTTTTTCATTGTAAGCAAAGGCATCTAAACAACAGAAGACAAGGAGATAACTCTGTGGCATAATTAGCCAGTTGTGGGGTCTGGCTGCCTGTAAGAGTCCTTCCCTGTGACCAGAGCAGCTGGGAGGCTCTGTGATGAAGCATGATCTTGTCAGCTTAACGAGGCTCATTAATTACCCACTGGCATTTCTATTTTCAAAATTGTCTTCTGTGTCTAATGGTGTTGAGGAACCAGGCAAAAACCACTTGGTGCCCTCTAAGTGGAATTTATTCTAAATCTTCTCTCCTAGCAGATTACACATGCTGTGACTTGGTCGTAAAACTAAAGGAATGTAAGAAGAGCGGTGACCCCACCTCGCCTGAGCTCTCATCAGCAACCCCCTTACATGTACTTCCAGAGCGACCAGAGACCCCTGGCCTGTCGGAAGATGTTTCTGAGCCTCAGCAGATACCTGAAAGTTTCATGACTTTGCAGGTAAGGCCTCCCATGCATCCCAGCCTCATTCTCGCCAAGGCATGATCTTCCCTAGGAAGTTGATAACCATGCCTGTGTCTCCTAGTCTGGAAACCTGAATCATCTTTCCCATGTCTGTGTGACTGGCAGGTTCCCTAATGTTTCTGAGCCGCAGTTTCATTGTTTGGATAATCGAGATAATGACACTGACTCCACCAAGTTAAAATGAGGATCAAATACACTCAGCGGTGACAAGACCATAGCAATGACAGGTGCCGAAAATTATGCAGGGCACTTTATATGATCAGCACCTTTGCTTCTTGAAAGACCCTTAGGGCACTGGAGGTGTGGCTCAGTCAGTAGAGCGCCTGCTTTGTAAGTGCAAAGCCCTGAGTTCAAAACCCAGTGCCACCAAAAGAAAGACCCTTAGAAAGCAGGAGTCCCTCAGAGAAGAACACCACATCTTTGAAAGGTCAAGGAATTTGCCAAGGCCATAGCCTTGAGTTGAAGGATGTGGAAGATTTCGTTTGACATCTGTCCTGATTATGGAAGTAGTGTGCACACTTGTCTTAAAGATCTGAAAATCAGAAGGGCAAACAACCTCAGAGATAGCCCCTGCTGCAGTATCTTACAGAGCCCACCACACCTCTGGGAAGGCATGAGATATGTTGTGAGCCTCCCTGAAAATGCAGAGATGACTCCATTAGCTGACTCCTGCTCTTCTGGAGCCTTAGTGGGCCCAGATGAAGTGTTCATGGTGCCCCAAAGCACCTGAGCCTCCAGGGCTGTCCTTAGTAGGTGGGCAGTAAAGCAACAGCCACACTTGGGTC